GCTTAGATTGCCTCCTTGAAGAGCTTCACCTGCTTGAGCAAGCCCGTGAGGTCCTGCCCGTAGGGATGTCTTCTCCCTGGGAGGATGAACGTGTAAGATGTAATAAAAGAGCTGACAAAGAAAAAGTCTAACATGATACCACATGAAATGAGCCATAAGTATTTCGAGGAAATCACTAATAGAAAAGCTGGAAATTAATTAGATAAAATCTACAATGATGGGTCATCTAATCCTGCTAATGGCAGGGCTGGAGCAGCATATACTGTAATTATTAGTAATGTCTTTCAAAACGGGAATGAAGCAAAAAACTCATATTGAGAACTATGCCTCGTTAACGCAAGCAGTTGACATAATTGACACATTTATGATATTAGGATTTCTTGAAAGAAACATCAAAGTTGAAGTAATCTGTACTGATTCAAATTGCACTTCAAAGCCTCGGAAAAGAAACGCACAGAAAACTCAGCGATAGTCGTAGAAATATGAGATCTGCGAGAGTACTAACCAATCAGGGAGGGTGATCAAGTTCTTGTGAATCTCTTCCCATGTTGAAATGTATGGAAATGAACGAGTAGATGCGTTGGCTGTTGAGGGCGCTGAAAGAGACCACATTGAATGCTTCATACCCAAGAAGTTAGAGATACCGTCAGGCAACATCACCGTCACAATGTAAGTGAGGAAAGCAAGATAAAAAAACAAATAAGTGAATCTGTACCCCTGGTACAATATGGTGCCAGCTGGCAATCCCAATCATCATGGACGAAGAGGAGGTGTCCGATAGAGAGAATATGTAATAGCGAACATTTGTTTTGGATACAAATATCCATTGAGATTCGTGATGGAGACAACAGCTGAGCAGCGGAGCCGCAGAATCTGAGGTGAGTGAGGGACAACGCCTTGACCACTACCTGAGAGAGTGTGAATAACTAAGAGTCATTAGAAATGTGTGTAGAAAAATAAACCCCCCACATTGTTTGAGTTAGGAAAACACAGTTTGTCAAAAATAGATATCGTTCTTAAAAGATACTCGTTACTTTGCACCCGCAAGATAACGTAAGTTCAGGGATTGACAAATGTTAATCTTCTTGTTTTATAAAATGTTCCTGTGAAACAGTTAAGCTCGTCCCAGCTGTGTCTGGGTACAAGTGACGGGATGAACAACCCAGCGGGTTTTCTTCCTATTGGGGAGTGTTGTACATGCTGCTATGGTGGTGTGTCCACTCACAGGATGAGTGACGCTGCCCAATACTGTCACTATGGCGGTGTGTCCACTCACAGGATGAGTGACGCTGCCCAATACTGTCACTATGGCGGTGTGTTCACTCACAGAATGAATGACGCTGCCCAATACTATTACTATGGCGGTGTGTTCACTCACAGGATGAGTGACGCTGCACAATAAACTCTAGTGAGAGGGAGGGAGGGAGGGTAGGAGGACAAGATGAAGTGAGGAAACGCCTTGAAGATAAGATGTAGTGGAGGTTGTGTTGGCCAGACCCCACGTTCCAGGCATCTTGTGACCTAGCAGCCAGAGGAGTCGGGGAGGATAGCTGCAGGTCTTTCATGATGGGAATACACATATAACGGAAACATGACACCTCAACTGCGACGGATGTTTACCTTAGACACTTAAGAGAGGTTGACAACCTTGACAAGCTTCTCTGTCAAGGTAGGTGACACTGTCCCCCCCTCTCAAGATAGGTGACACGTACGTACTGTCCCCCCTCTCTCAAGGTGGGGTGACACTGTCCCCCTCTCTCAAGGTGAGGTGACACTGTCCCCCTCTCTCAAGGTAGGTGACACTGTCCCCCTCTCTCAAGGTGGGTGACACTGTCCCCCTCTCTCAAGGTAGGTGACACTGTCCCCCTCTCTCAAGGTGGGTGACACTGTCCCCCTCTCTCAAGGTGGGGTGACACTGTCCCTCTCTCTCAAGGTGGGGTGACACTGTCCCCCTCTCTCAAGGTAGGTGACACTGTACCCCTCTCTCTCTCAAGGTGGGTGACACTGTCCCCCCTCTCTCAAGGTAGGTGACACTGTACCCCTCTCTCAAGGTGGGGTGACACTGTCCCCCTCTCTCAAGGTAGGTGACACTGTACCCCTCTCTCAAGGTGGGGTGACACTGTCCCCCTCTCTCAAGGTAGGTGACACTGTACCCCTCTCTCTCTCAAGGTGGGTGACACTGTCCCCCTCTCTCAAGGTGGGTGACACTGTCCCCCTCTCTCTCTCAAGGTGGGTGACACTGTCTCCCTCTCTCAAGGTAGGTGACACTGTCCCCCTCTCTCAAGGTGGGTGACACTGTCCCCCTCTCTCTCTCAAGGTGGGTGACACTGTCCCCCTCTCTCAAGGTAGGTGACACTGTCCTCCTCTCTCTCAAGGTGGGTGACACTGTCCCCCTCTCTCAAGGTGGGTGACACTGTCCCCCTCTCTCTCTCAAGGTGGGTGACACTGTCCCCCTCTCTCAAGGTGGGTGACACTGTCCCCCTCTATCTCTCAAGGTGGGTGACACTGTCCCCCCTCTCTCAAGGTAGGTGACACTGTCCCCCTCTCTCTCTCAAGGTGGGTGACACTGTCCCCCTCTATCTCTCAAGGTGGGTGACACTGTCCCCCTCTCTCAAGGTGGGTGACACTGTCCCCCTCTCTCTCTCAAGGTGGGTGACACTGTCCCCCTCTCTCTCAAGGTGGGTGACACTGTCCCCCCTCTCTCAAGGTGGGTGACACTGTCCCCCTCTCTCTCAAGGTCACTGTCCCCCCTCTCTCAAGGTGGGTGACACTGTCCCCCTCTCTCTCAAGGTGGGTGACACTGTCCCCCCTCTCTCAAGGTAGGTGACACTGTCCCCCCCTCTCTCTCAAGGTGGGTGACACTGCCCCCCTCTCTCAAGGTAGGTGACACTGTCCCCCCTCTCTCAAGGTAGGTGACACTGTCCCCTCTCTCTCTCAAGGTAGGTGACACTGTCCCCCCTCTCTCAATTTGGGTGACACTGTCCCCCCTCTCTCTCAAGGTGGGTGACACTGTCCCCCTCTCTCTCTCAAGGTGGGTGACACTGTCCCCCCCTCTCTCTCAAGGTGGGTGACACTGTCCCCCCCCCTCTCTCTCAAGGTGGGTGACACTGTCCCCCCCCTCTCTCAAGGTGGGTGACACTGTCCCCCCTCTCTCAAGGTGGGTGACACTGTCCCCCCCTCTCTCTCAAGGTGGGTGACACTGTCCCCCCTCTCTCTCAAGGTGGGTGACACTGTCCCCTCTCCTCTCTCTCAAGGTGGGTGACACTGTCCCCCCCTCTCTCTCAAGGTGGGTGACACTGTCCCCCCTCTCTCAAGGTAGGTGATACTGTCCACCTCTCTCTCTCTCAAGGTGGGTGACACTGTCCCCCTCTCTCTCTCAAGGTGGGTGACACTGTCCCCCTCTCTCTCAAGGTGGGTGACACTGTCCCCCCTCTCTCAAGGTAGGTGACACTGTCCCCCCCTCTCTCTCAAGGTGGGTGACACTGTCTCCCTCTCTCTCAAGGTGGGTGACACTGTCCCCCTCTCTCTCAAGGTGGGTGACACTGTCCCCCTCTCTCAAGGTGACACTGTCCCCCTCTCTCTCTCAAGGTGGTGACACTGTCCCCCTCTCTCAAGGTAGGTGACACTGTCCCCCTCTCTCTCTCAAGGTGGGTGACTCAAGGTAGGTGACACTGTCCCCCTCTCTCTCAAGGTGGGTGACACTGTCAAGGTCACTGTCCCCCGTCTCTCAAGGTAGGTGACACTGTCCCCCTCTCTCTCTCAAGGTAGGTGACACTGTCCCCCTCTCTCTCTCAAGGTACACTGTCCCCCTCTCTCAAGGTGACACTGTCCCCCTCTCTCTCTCAAGTCTCTCAAGGTAGGTGACACTGTCCCCCTCTCTCTCTCAAGGTGGGTGATCTCAAGGTGGGTGACACTGTCCCCCTATCTCAAGGTGGGTGACACTGTCCCCCTCTCTCAAGGTGGGTGACACTGTCCCCCTCTCTCTCTCAAGGTAGGTGACACTGTCCCCCGTCTCTCAAGGTAGGTGACACTGTCCCCCTCTCTCTCTCAAGGTGGGTGACACTGTCCCCCCTCTCTCAAGGTAGGTGACACTGTCCCCCCCATCTCAACACAGGATGTGTATAGGTCCACGCAGTATGAGCATGGGTCCACCACCACTTACAGGAAGGTGTACTCCCCATGAGTGGGGGGTACACCTTCCTGGTAATAAATGGTAATAAATGGTAATAAATGAACAAAATAAGTGTGGGGCTGGCTTGTGTTATCGCGGCAACACCTCACATTGTCCTCATATTTCTCGTCTACCAGTTTGGGAAATTCACAAATGTATATATAGTCGGCTCTAATTAAATAACCATGATAACCAAAATCATTGTCGGGGTTTTCCCCTCCCTCCACTTGAATTTCCCACATTGTCATCCTTCCTGTCTCCCCCCCCCCCTTCACCCATTTCCATATGCCACTTTTCTTAACCTATAAAGCCCCCTTTTTAAAATCCCTCCCTTCTCCCCAGGCCCCTTTGAACTCTATTTGACCTTCCATTCCCCCACGCCTTAACCTGTCTCAACTTTCCCCTTCTTTCCTTCTTTATGCTTCTCCCCCTTCCTACACCCCCCCTCCCACGGTGTCACTCCCCCCACCCTCCCCACCGACCTTCCCTCCCGGCCTGGATGGATATGTATTGGCTGCTGTCTGTTTACATGTGACGTCACACTGTTTATATATGACGCCACTCCTGCCTTTTTTATCTGTTTGGCTATTAAAGATTTCACACATGTTCCATATATCTGAGATTGTCTATTACCAGTTTAATTTAATAGTAAATAAGCTGCAAGAGTGTCCGCTTTAGCAAGCCAATGATACGTATTGCGGTGAGAACATGGATGAAACTAGTGCGGGATATTGAAGGGTGTGGCGAGCGCCGGTACCTGTAGAGTCGAGTCCATAAAGAGGCGTGGGTGAGGGTGGTCGCTAGCAGACCTCCTCAAGACATTGTGAAGTGTGTTACATCCACCTCCGACAGCTACTCCACGCTTCATCCACCCACGACGTGGCGCCGTCAGGATGAAGGCGCTTCTGATGCTGGTGATGACGGCTGCAGCGTTTGCAGTCTCTCTAGAAGATGGTGAGTACGATAGCTTGGCTGTGGTAACACAGTGCATTGTTGACTTACACTGGGATATCTCTGGTTTGATCCCCAGTGTAGGACAGAAATGGTGTTTCTTTTCACCTGGTGCCTCTGTTCACCTGGCAAAATATACCCGGGAGTGTGGTAACTGTTGTGGCGGTGCATCCTGGGGAAGGTCAGTTATGAGTATATAACAACAACAACAACAACAACTTGCCGTGTGACGGGGATTAGTAGGAAAGTGTAAGGGTCTTCCTGTACTGTTGTGTATGTTGTTGTTGTTGTTTTAAGTTCAGTCACTCTGGACAAAAAAATTGCAAGTAGGACGGGCTATGGTGATCCCGTGGTGCACTGTTCCACTACGTCCACTGTTATGTAACTATTGTACGTTTCTCATGGTTAATGCTTCGTGTGACGCCCAGGTTCTGCTTCTGTTATTTGTTTGTTCTGCAGGCGATGAGTCACAATAACGTGGCTGAAGAATGTTGACCAGACCACACACTAGAAGGTGAAGGGACGATGACGTTTCGGTCCGTCCTGGACCTTACCTTGAGGTTACCTTGAGGAGCTTTCGGGGCTTAGCGTCCCCGCGGCCCGGTCGTCGACCAGGCCGCGGTCCAGTCCAGCAACCTCCTGGTTGCTGGACTGATCAACCAGACTGTTGGACGCGGCTGATCGCAGCCTGACGTATGAGTCACAGCCTGGTTGATCAGGTATCCTTTGGAGGTGCTTATCCAGTTCTCTCTTGAACACTGTGAGGGGTCGGCCAGTTATGCCCCTTATGTGTAGCGGAAGCGTGTTGAACAGTCTCGGGCCTCTGATGTTGATAGAGTTCTCTCTCAGAGTACCTGTTGCACCTCCGCTTTTCAACGGGGGTATTCTGCACATCCTGCCATGTCTTCTGGTCTCATGTGATGTTATTTCTGTGTGCAGGTTTGGGACCAGCCCCTCTAACATTTTCCACGTGTAAATTATTATGTACCTCTCCCGCCTGCTCTCAAGGGAGTACAGTTTTAGGCTCTTTAGTCGGTCCCAACAGTTTAGGTGTTTTACTGAGTGAATTCTAGCAGTAAAGGATCATTGCACGCTCTCCAGGTCAGCAATTTCTCCAGCTTTGAAAGGGGCTGTCATTGTGCAGCAGTACTCCACTCTAGAGAGCACAAGCGTTTTGAAAAGTGTCATCATCGGTATAGAATCTCTAGTGTGAAAAGTTCTTGTTATCCAATCTGTCATTTTTCTTGCAGTTGTGACGGCTACTTTATTGTGTTCTTTAAAGGTAAGGTCTTCCGACATGAGTACACCCAGATCCTTTACATTGCCTTTTCGTTCTATGTCATGATTTGCCTGAGTTTTGTACGTGGTTTCCGTTTTTATATTTTCATTTTTTCCATAGCGCATGAGCTGGAACTTATCTTCGTTAAACACCATATTATTTTCTATAGCCCATAGAAAGACCTGATCTACATCTGACAGGAGGTTTGCCGTGTCTTCTATGTTGCCTACTCTCATGAAGATCCTAGTGTCATCTGCAAAGGATGATACAGTGCTATAGGTTGTGTTCTTGTCTATGTCCGATATGAGGACGAGAAAAAGTACTGGAGCAAGCACAGTACCCTGGGGGACTGAGCTCTTCACGGTTGATGGGCTGGATTTTATTTTGTTGACTATTACACATTGGGTTCTGTTGGTCAGGAAATTGTAGATCCATCTGCCTATTTTTCCGGTAATTCCTTTTGAACGCATTTTATGTGCAATAATGCCATAATCACATTTATCAAAAGCTTTTGCGAAATCTGTGTAAATTACATCAGCGTTTTGTTTGTCTTCCATAGCATCTAATGCTATATCATAGTGGTCCAGCAACTGCGACAGGCAAGAGCGCCCTGTTCTGAAACCATGTTGTCCGGGGTTATGGAGATGCTGTGATTCCATGTATTTTGTGATCATACTTCTTAGCACTCTCTCAAAATTTTTTATAATGTGTGATGTTAGTGCTATCGGTCTGTAATTTTTTGCCTCTGCCTTATTTCCTCCTTTATGAAGTGGTGCTATCTCTGCTGTTTTTAGTATGTCACGGATAACGCCAGTATCTACGCCTTGCCTCCACAGAATGTGGAGGGCCTGCGATAGTGGTTTTTTTACAGTTCTTTATGAATATGGAGTTCCAAGAATCCGGGCCTGGTGCAGAGTGCATAGGCATACTGTTTATGGCTTCTTCAAAATCTAGTGGGGATAGGGTGACGTCTGATATATGATTTGATGTTGGTATCATATCCATGAAATTCATTTGGGTTATCAATCTTTAGTGCGTTTAATGGCTCACTGAAAACAGAGTCGTACTGCTTCCTCAGTAGCTCGCTCATTTCTTTGTTGTCATCGGTGAAAGTTCCATCTCCCTTTCGCAGGGGCCCGATACTAGATGTGGTTTTTTATCTTGATTTTGCATAGGAGAAAAAATATTTCGGATTTCTCTGTATTTTACTGATGGCCTTTTGCTCTCTTTGCCTCTCCTGGGTTTTGTATGATTCTTGTAGCTTGAGTTCAATTGTTTCTATTTCTCTACCTAACCTTCTTCGCCGTTCTTGAGATAAGGTGCGACTCTCAAGTTGTTCCGCGATTCGTTTTCTTCGCCTATATAGGGAAGGACGTTCCCGTTCCAATCTGCATCTTTCTCTTTTTTCTTAGGGGTATGCGGTTTGAACATATTTCTAGTGCTATTGAGCTTATTTTTTCCAGGCACTGGTTCAGGTTTGCATTTTCTAGCTGTTCTTCCCAGTTTATTTCTGTGAAGTCCTGGTTTATTTGCTCTCAGTTTATCTGTTTATTATTGAAGTTGAATTTGCTGAAATCTCCTCCACCGGGAATCTGGACTGGTTTTGAAGGTCTACTCCCCATGGTTGTCATAACTTCAATTAAGTTCTAAGACCATTCTAAAGTCGATTGTAACTTGAGAATGGTCCAAAAACGTCGCGAAACGAAACGTCGTCGTCCCAAGTTCAAGTTCAAGTATGTTTATCGAGACAAGAAAAAATACATCTCAAAAGGATAGAGTAGCTTAGGCTATTTCTACCCCCCTCAATTTAACATTATTGCCAACAGCATTTGGTGTTCCCAGGCGGTCACCCATCCAAGTACAAACCAAACCCAATGTTGCATAACTTCGCTGATCGGACGAGAAGTGGTGTTCTCAACGTGCTATAGCCGTTAGCAATCGTCGTCGTCCCTTCACCTTCTAGTGTGTGGTCTGGTAAACTTCGTTTCTCATTTATTAATGCAAGATTTCCTGTTGTGTGGATGCACCAGAGGCTTTATTCCAGCGAGATGACATGGTTTGTTCATTTCAATGTTCTTATTATGATACCGTGCAGGTGTCAGCTAGGCTATGGTTTATTTTATTTTGTAAATACTGTCTTCATTTAAAACAAGTGGAGGGGGGGGGGGAGCAATATGGCGGTCAGTCAGGGATATCGTTAAAAGCCTAAGTTCGAGTTTCCTGTCTCACAAATACAACAAAATTATTAAGGATTGTAACAGTCCATTACATATGGTCTTCCTCTCATGTTGGCCTCAGCATGCATAAGAGCTGATAAGTTAGTCAAAGAATTTGCCTTTTAAAGGAGCCGTTGAGTGTAACCTTGGATTGTCAATGAGTAATCTGAGAGCAGCAGTACACAGAGAACTTAAAGATCTTGTAGATCTGAGGCAAAGTGGAAATAGACACCAGTAATTCTATCAATCATCATACTATCGTGCAAGAGGAGTCGCACATATATGGTTCATCTAATAAAATCAGCAGACTTCTAGCTGTTACTACTACTGCTCGGCTTAGACTCGGTTACAAGTATCTCTGGGAATTCTCATTATCTGCTGATGTAGACCTGACCAAATGTAAACTGTCAACAAAATTATTCGCACACCCTCCGTCACTATGTGATGGAGTGCGAAAAGGTACGTAAGATCGTATTCAGAGACAGTTCTATAACCAATGTTCCAACGAGATGTAAATATTTCATTAAAGATGATCTGCTACCAGAAATTTTAGCCAAATATCCCCAGTTTGCTAACTGTAGGTAGTAACTAAGTGATTATAACCTATTCACCGCTGCCCACTGGATGGGGGGGCGGTGTGCAGCACAAACATATAAATTTTGACACTAGCGCTCAACATATGTCAGTTGCTTAATTTAGAAACTGTACTTGTGGTCGATCTCGAACCCATTGTTGATGTGACGACTTGTATTGAATTTTGTAACTAGCTCATCAAAATTTAACTTGCTTAGCTAGCCTTTTCCACCTCCCCTCTCCCTCACAACCACAAGATGGGTATGGGGTGCATAATAAATGAACTAAACTGTCTCGCTTGTATAGACTTTAGTCAATACGAAAACTGAGGTTAGTCCATTTCTTGTTATATTTTGAGAGACGGTGACAAGAAACACGATGTGATTGGGTGTCAATCTTTTAACTGTTCGCCCCCCCCCCTGTTCACCCAGCAGTAATTGGGGACCTGGTTGTTAAGAGCGTGGCGGGTCGTATTGCAGGAAACCTAGTAAGATAAAACTAGCTATGGGAAGGGAATGCGGCTCAGTCTACACGCATGAGTCTGACGTTGTCTACTTCTATACTCTTGTAACACACAAATTATAACCGTTCTAAAACCGGCTCTGAAGCCTGACTACTGAGTATAATAATGATGTAGTGGAGGACTGGGCGGCGCCCGAGGTGACCTCTAGTGGTCACTGGTGTGATCTACCCAGAATAGATGACTATTTTTAGCGATGCTTATTGGCCGGTTACAAACCTCGTCAGTGTTCGGTATTTAATTTTAAATTAAAATACCGAACACTGACGAACCTTGTAACCATAGCGTAGTAATTTTTTTACTGTTAAAAGGTAATAAATAATGGTAAATTATCCCTTTTATACTGAATAGAAACTAAAGTATGTTCATTGAGATTTAAAACCAAACAAGGGTATGAGGCTACCCTAACTGCTCT